TGAAATGTCCCCATCATCTAATACATTGCATATCACTCTACTTGCAAAACCGTAATATAAATGAACAAAGTATTTGTTTATTACCCCGAGAATATATGCATGAAAACATTTTGTGACTCAGAGTACACAATATATGTATATAAACTTCTCAAAGTTTTCGTCGAAAACTTATTTCATTTTGGGAGAAATGAAGAAACGCTTGATGAATTACGTTTTCCCTGGCATATCTTCAATGATAACATATAAAACGTTCGAAACTAAAATGTTCAACAATTCGATGAATTCTTTAAAATTGTCAAACCATTCACAATGGGAAACTTTGAATTATCTTTAAAAAAACAATTTCGAATGATATGTTAACAAGTTTGTCGACCGCAAATATTTATATAACATTTTTCATTAATTTGATATTTTAAAAGATAGAAAATTTGGAACATCTGAAGTTTTAATTGCTGTTTCCAACATTTCAGTTTCATAGGTCAATTCTACCAATAAAACTGCATTTTGATATTCAACAAAAATCGAAATGATTCAATCTAACCAGAAGAAATTGCGTTTTTCATCTATTATGTTCATAAGCGGCAATTCCGGAAATTGAGTTTTGAACTTCTTTATAAGTATTTTTGAATCATATGGCGTTTCAAATGACGTTTCTCATGATTGACACAAATTGACTTGCTATAAAGTCAACAAATAAAAAAAAGTAGTTAACTTTGAAAATTGCGTCCGAGCGAAAGACGAGCAAGTAATTTGTCAATACGTTGATAACTTTCATCCACAGAGAATTTGAGAGGACTACAATATAAAGGGCGCGCCCGTCAAAAAAGCAATAAATAAACATTTTAAACGTGAGCTTCGTGTGTCATTATCATTCAATTGTCGCACTCACTTGGGAACAATCAAAATTGTCTTTCACATTTCGTCTCGGATGAAATCGATAGAGTGTGTGTCAAATCCACTCGATGCCGAAGTCTCTGAAGTTCAAGAACCACATCATTACTACACGTGAAATGTTCACATTATGAATTACAATATTACCGAATACAATATAATATCCATGCGAATGAATACATAACAAGATTTGGATTAGATTGCTCAATGTATATACCTTGGCCAAAAATAAGTTTCACTGTGTGTGTCTTTTGATCTATACTGTTTGAGTTGATTCTATCAATTTGTCGTAAACAGAGATGATGCATCATTGGCTTACGTTATTGTTTGAATTTTGTTCGGTGCTATGAAATTCATTTGTATAGTCGATAAAGTGAATTTCTCATTCAACCAATTCCCGTGATAGTTTCAGGCGCGACGACAGCACTTTCGAAAAACGACTTAATTTAATTAATGTGATGATGTCACTCAACTGCAAATGTATCATAATGCAAACAAAGTAAAGCATTAGCAAAACAACCAACACAGTTGCTACATTGGCAAAATTGTGCATCAAGCTGATAATTTAATGTAAGAAAAGAGGAAATGGGAGAGAATGAGAACGTAAAAGTGTGCATTATATTATAAATGCAATTTAATTAATTTCAGTTAATTATCCTTTTCAACGGCAACGATGACAAATTGTGAATAGAGTGTGTAAGTGAGTGAATGTTACATTTTCGACTGAAATAGCAAACGATTTCTGTATGAATATCGTTTTTAAAAATCGTATGTTGCAATTCGTGCACGTGAGACATTAGTGTTAGAGAGAGAGAGAGAGATAGAGAGAGAGAGAGAGAGAGAAAGAGAAAGAAAGATTGTGTGAACAAGATAAATTCATCGTACCACATCCGATTCAGGTGTTAACAGCTTAAATGCAATGCATTATGTATTCGCTTTTGTTAAAGATAGAAAATGGAACCTTCATTAAAATCGCTTACGTGCATCTGTTCACCAATTCAGAATTTGCTTCAATCGCCTTAATATTCACTTTTCATTGTTTTTTTTTCTCTATTCTCTGTCGTCACCGTGCTCTTTTCAATTTTTTTTTCTAGCGAATTTCTGAATATTTTTATTTGTCTTTTGTTGGGCCATCCATTAGAGAATTTACCACATTTTTGTTTCAATTTTCGCTTCTTCAGCGAACACATCGTTTTACTCCACTATTGCTACGGCTGTTTGTTCGTGCTATTCAATTGCAAATTGCATGCAATACATTTAAGTGAATTTCAAAAGAAAAAAAAACCGACATAAAAAAAATGGCGAAGTCTGTCACATTTCAACGCATAGAATGTTTTTATAAAGTGTGCAATAGTGCCAAATGAAATTCAGTGCATGAATTCTAGTACACGAAGTGTGTCCTATCTTATGTTGTGCTTGCGACTGTAGTATTTCCAAACAATTTACAGTTGTATGTATCGTTTGGTGCTTACTGTTCATTTTTCGGTTCAGCCTGAAGCTTCATTCGCATTTGACGAAATAAGATACTTTGAATAGAATAAGAAAAAGAGGATGAGCATTCATTTACAAATATACACATACACCGATTGTTTGACTGTAGGATAAAAGAAGAAATATCAAAAGGATGTGAAAGTCAAAAGCTTTCACAAATCCATTGACAAATGCTTTCATTTTTATTTACTGGCCACATTATTCTAGCACAAAATCACAAATCTTTTAATATCTTCCTCGCTTTATTTTCCATCATTTATATACATCACACACACTAGGCTCAGATTTACTTTTGTATACACAAATGCACTATTATTTTATTATATCAATTGTAGTTGAGTTTTTCTTTATCGCTGTTCTCAATGTGTGTGTATGTGTGTGTTTGTAAAATGTTTCAGCAAGAAAAAAAAGAATTTTTATAGAAACCCGTCATCAAATCCTAATGTAAGCAACATCGCTATTATGCAACAATTTATAATTATTTGCCTTTTCATTGAAAAGAAGTATGCCCACCTGAAATGGTGATAATTGCTTTATAAATTCATCTTTTTTATATTTCCATGGCACCTTTTATGAATTCATTTGCGTAATTATGAATAATGAATATGAAAACAATGACTTTTTGAACAAAATGTAATTTTGTTAATTTATAAAATTTATGATATGCAAGATGTTCCATAGTTCTGTACAAATCGCGGTATTACAAGTTGATAAACACTTTCCAATGAGGACATGAGGCTATATTCTGATCTACTTTTTGAACAATTTCAAAGATTTTTTTGGTGAGAAAAAAATGCTCTATAATTTTAAGTACTAAGTTGAATGTCAAAACATAATCGGCAATACCAAATAAGTTTACCCACATTTGAATCTATATTATAATCCAGTAAAAATGTCGTAGTTTCAAAAAAGTTATTGGATCCAAAAACATGCGAAATGGCTTGAAATCTAGTTGGCTCATTTTGGTTGCTATGTTTATTAGCTTGGCACCGGAACAAAACCAATTATTTATTAATGTGCGCTAGTTATCATCAACGTAAACGACTCTCTTTTTTTCACGATGCTCAACCTTCTGCCCTTCATTTGAGACTGTTTCGATCAATACTACTCAAGCATTAGAGAATTAAATCTTAACGCAAGAACTTTGTTTTATCTTACTCGGGTTTTGTAAGAGTGTAAAAAGTTCAATTTGTTAAAAAAATCTTTGTGCATTTGTACAAGAGAAAAACAATTTATTCGTACGAAAACAATCAAGTGCAGTCAATGATGTGTATTATTTGGCTCTTGTGTTGCTTTGTTGCTTATATTGAATTAAGATGCGATAAAATTAAACCGAGCAATGGGTGTCCGATTGTTTTTGCTCTTTGAAATGCAGAAAACAAAAAATCCATGACTCTTTGCTCTTGCATTCAAAAGTGTAATATTTTGCTTTAAAAACGAGATTTTCTTATCAAAAAGTAACGGATTTTCCACAATGTCTTGAGAATTAGTTTAATGCATTATAATATCAAATTCGGAATTTCAAAAAGAAATGACTCCCTTTGAACTTTACGAGTGAAAATATAAAATGAATAGAAAATCGCAAACGAAATGTAGACAATGTTATTCTCAGTTGGCAATTGCCAATGGCATTATTTGCCATAAAAAACACAAGAGATAAACATTAAAATAACTTCAAACAATACCCGATGCTTTCTGTTTATTCGTTTCCTCTCTCTCTCGCTCTCTCACTCGAACGATCATATTTATTTTGTCATTTTGAAACCAACATTGCACTTCATATTCTCGAGAAATATGAAAAAAATGTGCAAATAAACATTGTTCACAGAATACAACTAAAAAACGAATGAGTTCACGTTCATAGATGTTTCATTTATGACTGTAATTGCTTTTGTATACATTGTAGAAATAGGAGACTCTGTCTATTTTAGCTATACTTGTAGCATTGCCAACAGTCGTCAGTCATGATAGTATCTCGTTTTGATAAATAATAAATTCCGAAAATATGGTCGTCGTTCCCAACAAAAAAGCAATAAAAAATAGGGAAAATATCACATTGAATGTGTTGTGAAACAATATCTTAGAGCATAAACAAACGTGGTCGGTAAAATGAAATAACATCAAAATGCAGTATATTGTCGAAAATTGATTATATCGTTCGAGGTTTTTTTTTCTCATTCACTTGAAATCCAATTGTTTTGTATAATTCGATATTCTCTATGTGTTGATAGATAGACACAATAGATGAAATCACAATGAGTATTTCAAATACGATATTAGATAGCGATAGATGAGTCCCTTTAATGTAATTTACCATAAACCACCGTATACGGATTTTAATGCGGATTTTTGAAATAAAACAAATCCCAATTCGTAATGTACTTTATAATCCTTTTGTCTGGATAATGAATCAAAACCTTGGCTATTCAGATGCTTGCATAATACTAACAATATAATATTGAGGTTAGAATGCATGATCCAACAATAAGGAATCTTATTGATGTAATATGGAATTCACTCCATTCAAGCTACTACGGTTGAACAATAGACAAAAGAGATTTAATGAGATTTTCAGTTTTTTTTTTATTGAATTTCTCAATTCCATTTAAATTCTTCAAATAACTATGCCATGATTGATGCAATAATATTACCTAGTCAAACATCTAAGCATTTTTCTGTTACGTTCAAATTTTATTGCTAATTGTTTTACTCACTAGGATTGTGTCTGTGTCTTATTTAACCTTACAAAGGTTTGTAAAAAATCAACGGTACAATTTTTCACTAAAATTGTATACATTTTTGTGTGTTCAATTAAAACATTATTTCTGCTAATACAAAAAGCAATCAACATTTAATTGGCATCATTTGGAACCCAGAATGCGACATACGAACTGGCAGTGGCCATCAGTGAATATTTCGGATTCATTTCGACGGCGGTGATTGCTTCTGGCTGATGTGATGACAGTTCAGCCACTTTTCGTTCGTGATCCAATCCCGATTTTTTATTATTGCTGAAAACCAATACATTGCCATCGCTGCTGCCGCTTAAAATGTATTCATTGTTCGGTGTGAACGATGCATCAATCGCAATATTCAGCATGTTTCGACGACCTTAGCACGAAAATTTAAAATGAATCAATAAATGAAAAAAAATATTTTTTTTTTGGAAGAAAACGACAAAAATGTCAAACTTACTTCCAAAAACTTGTTCAACAGCACCAGTGTATGAATTGACAACACGAATTTTCGAACTGTTTGAACTAATAAGGATTTGTTTGGCATCCGATGAAAACTTCAAACTTGTCCATTGGATTTGATCGTAATTGAATTTGAACGATGAAAACGGTCCATAATTAAGGCCACGCAAATCATAGATTTCAATGCGAGAATCATCAAGTGCAACTGCACATAAATCAGTCCATGGATGTAATGCCACCAATGGCACACCGCTTAAATTGTTTCGTGAAACTTCTGGGCCACGAGTCCGAAAATCAAATAACATTATCGATTTGTCAAGACCACCGCTGAGAAATACTTTATTTGCTGTGTTCACAGACAACGAAACTGATGGTTTTGAATGCCCTAAATAGCATGTTTCATACTTTTGATTTGTAATATTCAGTTCACGAATTTCGTATACACCGCGTACAGGCGCTTCCGAACCAACCAAAATTTTGTCATTGGCATCCATGTAGTCGACAACACTGACACCATATTTGAAAATGTTAACGGACCGAACTTGTTGGGCCGTGTTACAATTGTAAAAATCAATGGTGTGTCGATTATTGGCCGAAATCATTGTTTCACCATCTTCCGAGAATTTTATCGATCTTATACGTAAATCATCATTGTTGTATGGCCGACGAAAATTTGGAAACATATTGAAACTGCGCATGAAATTATCCGTATCGTCCAATTCCATCGGCATTTTGTATAGCTCTTTGCGATTTCACTTGTGACGATTCGATTGTAATGCCAAGTTTTGTTCAGCTTCTTTTTTTATGAATTCGTTAGAAATGCTGAAAGTGGTGATGAACAACAATACAATATAAATGAATATTTGTTCACCTCTTCGTATTTTTGTGATTTATAAAACTTACTTTGTGTTGAAAATTTCTTGAACCGAATGAAATTATTCCGAAATAGTTTTCAATCCACTTAAAAAAGCAAAATAATTAATGACATTGAATGCACACGAAAGATGTTGTGTTGTTGAAAATCACGTTGTCGTCTTAAACATCATACGATAAATGACAGTTCTAACGAAGCAAAAGAGTTGAATTCAGATCACACTGTGTAAACGAAAACGGTATACACTTTGCACAATCAGCACGTCACACATTTTTATTCGTTTGTATGTGTAATGTTTCGTACATTGAGAACGAAATCTCGAGTCAAAAGAGAGAGCGGAAAAATATTTCATTATTGTGTGCGTTGCAAACAGAGTTTGCATGAAGATTCGTGAATGTGTATTAGTCAGACGCTGGTTTACAAACAAACCTTTCGAGAAAAACTCCAATTAAATGAATGCCATGAAGTCGGTATTGTGTGATCTGGACGAGAAAAAAAACTATATAATGACATTCCTCCGAAAGTAGTTTTGGTGCACAAGAAAACAAATATTATGGTGAACAATACATTTGTTGACTGTATGAAATTGTATATCGTATGGAACGGAAACAATAAAACGTCTTAACAATATGAAGCAATTGTAAATAGTTCACAAATGCATGCAAACACCCTTATGTACGAAAATGAATATTTCGAGCATCGAACGATTGAGAGTCAGAGAGAGAGAGGGAGAAAGAGTATGTGCTTGCATTTTGTTTCCATATCACGTGTTTTGACTAATGATTTTACGTGACAATTTCAGTCAATATTGAATTTGGTTTGGTGATTTCTGGTCAACATAGCTGCAAACGTGATTATTTCAAGTGTATGAGAGTCGATTTGATAACAGAGAAATGCCAAATTTGTATATGGAAAAGATCTTTAATTGATAAGGTTTTGAGATTGCCATAGATAATATTGTGGAAACATGAGTCCATTTTAATTATAATGTTTTCGACCCAAGATAAATTGATAATACACGTTCGCATCAAAAGCGAAAAGATTTTATGCAGACAACACATTCACACACTTACATAAATATATCCGGTATGAACAAACCGAGATTAAACTAATCGACTTTTAGTGTATAACGGTCAGCCTCTTCATGCATTCCAGAAATAGCCACACATTCGAATAATGGGATTAACGTTTATTAAATAAGATTCGTTGCAAAAACATATCGCATTCAACAATCACAAAAGTCAAGACCCGCATGCAAATTAATATCGAGTGAATCATTCAGTTGATTACACCAAATATGCTATGAATATTCGCCTGAACTTGTCCATTCGATCATTTATTGTTTGTTTTAGGTAGTCGAAATCAGAATTATTTTAGTCTTACACTGCAAATCCATTGTATTATTTATTGCTTTCGTATGCTGTTCCTTGAATATTCGAGTCAAAACAAATAAATATTGTGGATTAAACACAATATTTGTTCGTATATAGTGGCTTGATGGTGTGATGCAACGAGGAAAGAATGAAAGAGATAGAAGTGACTATTAATCTGTTTCTTGAACAATCTCGGTTGGCCTTGCCATTTTAACCTACAAAATTCATTCAATTGTGAAATTTATTTGGAATTGTTTATGCTTGAGATTGCCAAGAAATGTTGTATTAAATTTTCCGAATCCGATCTAATTCGGTATTTATGTTACACGTCACAATTCATACTAAATGCTTCTATCTCTTTAAGTGTGTATGCATTTTTGTTGATTTTTGAAGCTGTTGTTGATTGCGGTGATGGTCGTTTGCGTTTCATTTTGACATTCGTCTAAATAAATGCATTTGATTTAAAGTTTTAAGTCTGCTTTCGGTTCAAATCATTGTGGTTTCAATTTGAAATTGCGTTTTGCGTGATTTCAGAAATGTTTTACAAATGCACATCTAGTTGCAACAAAGTCACTGTTATGTTACGCCACTGACCAATCAAAATCATCCAGTTTAAAACAGTTTACTATGTAAACAAATTATGGGTTTTATTTACAATGCATCGCATCACATAGCATCTGAAAAATCGATTTCATTGTTTATGTTATTATTTAACAGAAAAAACAACAACAACCACCAAAGCTGACTATAATTGTTATCTCTCTGCGTTGGCAATATATCCGGGAAACCGAATTGTTTGGACTTTTGACCGCAACACGCTTAAAATCTTTCAAATGATCAAATACAAATTCGGCATTCTTCACCCCACTATAATTTTGTCATCGCAAACAAGGACATGTATTCTATGACAATATTTTGTAAACGTTTTACTAAACGATATGGAAACCATTGGCTGAATTTCAAAGTCGAAAATATGTTTGGCCAAGAATGTAATCATATGTGTTCTATGTAGTGAAATGTTTTGAGGCGTACAATTGAAAAACATAATGTTTGAGTCACGCTCAATTAATAGACACGAATACAAACGGTACACAGTACAAGTCACAGTAAACAATACTAAATTGATGTAAAATCGTAATGGACAACACATTTCGAGTATTTTGGAACTTTTGATCCTGCGGACATTGTCTTACATTTTAAAATCAGATAGAATTTCTGTCAATAGCACACACGCATATATAACGATACGAGTCCAGTCATGAGTGGTATTTGACTAAAACAATGGAAAATCCCTTTTGAACAAATCACAATTTTGTAGTGGACGGAAACGGAAATTGAACACAGAGTTGATGATATACCGATTATTTATTTTTGTTGCTCTCATTTCGAATACCGATCGGTGTTTGAATAAATTTTAATGTCATGAGAGACAGATATAGTGAATGTATATTACATACCTAGATATGAGCTATTTGTTAGAACCCAGAATATTTTCAAGGGATCAACCATAGCATCCGCATGGATTGGTGTGATAAGTACTAGTCACCATAACAGTATAGTGGCACAATACCACCACAATCGTACAAAACTATACATTTTGGCAATGGAAATAATTGCATCCACTGCCACCACAAACGATGTTGTTGACAATGAATTTGATGCTCTTTTTAGTATTGGCTCAGTTTGTGCCGTTATCGTGGTCGTCGTGGTCGTCGTCGTCGTTGATATTGTTGATATTGCAGTTGTTGATTCGATGAAAAACAATTGAGCGGGCGTATACATTCCGCTTATGCACATAATAGATTTTCATTCACTTTAAGTTTTTTTTGTCATTGATGAAACAATGCTGAGTCTCACGCATATCAATCTCATGGCTCACAAGTCAGATACATAAATCATAACGAGATTAATTTCAAATGTTTGCCTGCCATACACGCACATGTACACCAACCACCCGAAAAAAAAAAATATATAAAATGTTTTGTTTGCTTTTAATGGAATCGCTGGGAATAATAAATCACTATTAGAATCACATAGAAAGTTTTGATCATTCCACGTAGCATTAAATTTGACCAGAAAATACATTTATCAGTTTCTGTATTTGTGATGCGGTTTGAGTACACGCACTAATTGTAATTATATGCTATGTGTCACTTTGATGATCGATTTCGTAACAGAATTTTCAATTAAATTGTGGAATATTCAATTTGGATCTATCGACAGGCGAGTTCATCGAATGTTTGGTTGCGGATGATTGCGAATAACATGGAATAAAGACCGTGTCATAAAATGTAATTCTTATTGCTATGGCAATCAGTAGAATTCATGAATGCAACACTCCGTTATATATAATCTGAATTCAATTAAAAAATTGCACATGCAAAAAGCACGAAGCCACATTTTCCACCATACGGTAGAATGCGCTTAAATATTTTTTCCCTGTCTTTCGGTCGTTTACGGTTCTCTGATACGATTTTATTGCGGTTTGCAATTTTACGCCAATTCTCTTCCTCTTTGAATGCGCGCGCGTGTGTGTGCGTTTCAAATCGCTTTTATGACAATTCTTTGGAATGATTTTCACGTTTTATGCATTTGCATATCACTTTTATCACTTTCCATTAACTCTCTATCTATTTTAATGTTTTGACGATGTTGTTATTGTATGGACAATGAGTGCACAGCATGCAAAGAACCAATATTCACATTGCACACGAAAAGTTGGTACATTTAGGCTTTGTAATCATTGATCAATTTTATTATAAACGAGCTACATTTAATGTTATCTTTATGCAGTTTTAGTCTCGTTTAGTTACGAAATATGATGCCAAGTAGTGTGAATAAATCTTTAGTGTTAACATTTATGTGCCAGCATGTTCACGGGGCTTAAGTCTCAATATGTTGCGCTCATATAACTAACTATCAAGCAAATGAAATTCGAAATGAATAAGTGCATATGTATATGATCAACCGCCGTGAAAAAACATACACACATTGAATTGTACCCAAAACTGGCTTTTTGGACAGATAGAAAGAGTGAGAGAGAAATGTATGGCAATAAATTTATTAGTTGAGTAAAATTAAGTTACGTTTATTGCTCCATTTTTGCTCTTGTTCTATTGCAATAGAGCATATGCAGGGCTCATAAAACAATTGCAAACTTTAAGCAAATTGGATATCCTACCGGAATAAAACCAAAAATATACCATTTTCACTCTCTCGTGAACGGTTAACGTGAGCACAAATGAAGAAATAGTTGATAATATTGGTGTCGAAAAATGGCAAATAAACATTGCACAACAATAGGGAAATGGCGAGGATAACCGGTATTATTAGTAAAAAAAAGTTTCGACGTGAAAGATAGGGAAAACACATCGTTTTCGTTAATTAAGTAAGAAAATTTCGCAAAATTGTGGGGACAACTCTTGGCACACCTCAACAATAGGAGCCATTTCACATGAAACAGCTACAATAATATAATGATAACACAGTCACAAAACCTAACGATGGCTTTTCTTTTATGTCGGAAGTTGAGGTTTTATGATCGCCTCTATACAGAACCTTGTTCGCACAAATTTTTTTTAATAGAAAAACTTTTCTCAACACATTTTCTCCCATTCACTATTCATTTTGAAATAAATTAATGAATGAATAAATGACATGAAATGTGCAAACAACGCGTGCCACATAAAATGTTCAATCATTCACAAGTCAAAAAAAATATTACATGGGATTTTTAGCGAACGCCCTGCACAAACATAATGACAATAACTGCAATGGCTCATAAATTTGGAACAATCTCTTTTGG